CCATCAGAAAGGACAGTACCTGCTCTGCCCAGACCCTTCATCTGTCTTTTCAGGCTGCAAGGACGATGTGGGAAAACATGTTCAAAGGACAATGCCTGGTCTGGCCAGACCCCTAACACTATTCTACTGCCTTCCCGGGCCCCTATTAATTCTTACATATCCCAACGCCTGGCCCCAACCTCTCCTCCCTCCCAGCACCCTTTTTAATACAATTGTGGAATGACTGGCATGATTGCACACAGGGAGCCTGACCGTGATGTGTTGAGCAGACCTGCCCTCCGGCCTAAGACATGGGCCCATTCTACTCCATTCGAATTTGGCCAGAGCAATCCCGGTAGCTAACACCACAGCTTTCTTATGGGCTAATGGGCGTAATCCCCCCATGTGCTGACGACGTGTGCGGCCCATGCACCACTGGGAATACATTTCAGCCCTAAACTGGGGCTTAACTGGGGACTGGTTGGCACCGCTGTTCATCCCTACTGGCCGGGGCAGGTGATGAGTCTTGAAAGTCAGCTATTGTCTCCAGGTGAATTGAACCTGGTCCTTGTCATTGACATAATGGAGAGGTGGGGTTTTTAGATCCAGGCTCTGTCAAAGGTCACGACCCACCCAAAGGCACCAGTGTAAAGGCCAAGGCCAATCACCGAGCCAGTATTGGCTCCCCTAGACCGGGTAGAGTCTTTCTGCATCTTTCAGTGAGCACCGGTTGATAGGACGTCTTTCTTCCATCGCTTCAGAACGGTGGCACCTTCAGCGTAGCAGCGCCCTCTAGCAATACACTGGGGTGCTACTGCAATGGGACTCAAGGGAGACAACCGTGAAAGGCAAATTGGTGATTTTGGTTGCATGTGTTTTAGGGTGCCCCTTCTGAGGCACCTTGATGAGGGTAAATTTTCAGCTCAGCCACTTGCTAAAAACCAGGTCCTTTTCAGAAGTCCCAAGTGAGCATCCCAAAGCAGTGGCATCCCAAGTCATGGAGGAATGGGAAGGTGGTGGGATGGGAAAGGTCTTTGGGGACCCTTTTGTCTAGTTTTCATGTCAATGGGGTGGCTCAGGGACGTGCTTGTGTTGAGAAAGGGTTTGGAGTCCCGCCAGTTTGTTCAGGTAGCTTTGGAAAAAAAATCCAGGGTGTGTGTGGGAGAGAGAGACAAAGGCAGAATTAAGGCAATAAGTGTGGGCAGAAGATGGGGGCTGGAAGTGTGAGAAGCAGGACACGGGGACTGAGCTGGTCTGAGGTGTGTCGCGCTTTACCAGGGAGTAATCTCACTCAGGTTTATCTGTGTTGTAGCTCTGTTAAAGCCAATGGCGCAAATTCCCCTGGTGTAAACTGGTTCAACTGGGTCCGATTTACATCAGCAGAGAAATTGGCCCCATGTCACAGTCCAGCAGCAGCTGGTGGTTGACTCTAAGGGCCGAGCCCCCTGCAGGGCGGGAGGTGACTTTATACGCTGCCCCCTCCCCCAGGCCCTGTGTGGGTTTTACTGTTTTCTCCTCTACAACTGGCCCCTGAAGCGGAAAGGAAATGGGAGAAATTATCCCACAAGAACATGGGACAGCGCATGGCCAGGGATACGAATGATACACCAGAAAGAGCCCATACGGGCATGACGGCACACGTGTATTGTAGGGTGCTTCCTCACAGGGCAGTGCAAACACCAGCTGCTATAGGAGCCAAATAACCATGGCAGGCCAATGTGTGAAGGAAAGAAGCCAGGCCAAGGGCTATATGTGTAAGGCCATGTCACAAGCACAGGAAAAGTATTGCTGTTGTGGGAGAAAAATCAAATAACTCCAATTGTGTCTAAGGGGGGACTGTGTCTGGGAAGCGGCTCGGCCCTTCTGAGAAACACCCCCGCATTTACATTGACACAGGTTTCCCTGGCCAGGTGAAAAATGGCAAGTCCCAGGGATCCGACTCCAGCCGTTGGGTCCTGGCCAATTCTCCCCGCTGCAAACTTGCCTTTTCTTCAGGCAGCCCCATGGTGCCCTCTGACTCCTACCCATGCACCCTTGGAACCTGCCATGCCCTCTGTCCGTTGCCCAGAGACAGAAGGGCCCTTGAGGCTCCCCTACGGACCCAGTCAGGCGAGACAGGAACCGCCCTCAGCATTGAGCTCGGGACGAGAGAATGTTCCACTCTGATCTGGGCGGTCCGCGGCTAAGATCTTCACAATGAGCAGTGAGGAGGGTCAGTAGAATCCGACATACCCTGTTGACCAGCCCGGTGCAGAGAGCGGAGCAGAGGTGTGTCGGCCGCTGGCAGGGGAGAGCTTTTATACGGTTGGGACCCCCCTGCCAAATGAATGCCATGACATCCTCATTCCCGAACGATGACATCCTCATTCCCGACGGCCTCATGTGCCCGGGCTGTTCCCAAGGCATGGGGTCTGCAGGGGCTGGTTAATTACTTGGGCACAGCATGTCCGCAATCAGTTTGAATAGTGCAGGTGATCAAAGCACTCAGCTAATTACTCCTCTCCTCGGCTGCACGAGGTGGAGAAGGCAGGTTCATCTCTCCATTTTGCAGAGGGAGCAACTGAGGCATGGCAGGGGGAAGTGCCCATGATCGGTGAGTCAGGGCAATATGATGGCCCCTACGCCTGATACTAGGCCAGGGCCAGGATCTCACTTGGCTCGCTCTGCTTATGTCACTTGAGCGCAGAATTAGTCGCTTGAGGACGTGTGGCTGGCACCTGGGGACAGAACTGTCCGACTCGCCCAGGCAACCGGGGAGTGGCTGGCAGTGCTGACAGATGGAGACTTCCCGCTCCCAAGCCCACGTGTAGCCCACGCCCCTAGTGTGGGTCACTGCGCCGTGCAGTGGCACTTAGATCATGGACAGCGCGAGATAGGAACAAGGGCGCTCTGCAGCCTGAGCCAAGAGCCAGCTGGCTTCATAGCTCAAGCTGTAGAGGCTCCTACATGAGACAAGGCTCCAGAGATTCCAGGTGCAAATCTGCCTGGTGATGGTTACACATGCTCAGTCCTGGGGGGCTGGCAGAATTGCTGGGCCCCTGGTTGGGGGGGGGGGGGGAGAGCCCGGCTCTGTGCTTCTGGAAAGGGTGGGGCCTCAGGGGCAGCCAGTCCTCAGTGGTGCCCAGAGCATCCTGTGCCTCCCCCAACCAGCCCTCAGTGCTGCCTGCAGTGCACCACTCAGGGGGCCGGTGGTGACTGGAAGACTCCAAAGCTCTGGCTGCTGCTTGAGTTGCCAGGCCCCTTTGTCAGCAGCCGGCCTGCTCAGCCCCTCCAAGGACAGTGGGCTCCAACCTTTTTTCGTCTGTGAACCCCTAAACAATTCCCTATGGGAGCGCGGGATCCAACTGGAAATCTAGACATGGTCTGCAGCCCGCCCGATGCTCCCGGACCACAGGTGGAAATAGGAAGAACCTAAGAGCGAGTGGCCTGGGCCAGGCCAGAGGCCCATCCGGCCCAGGGTCCTGTCTGCCCACAGGGGCAAGTGCCAGGTGCCCCAGAGCGAGTGAACAGAACCGGGAACCATTCAGTGATCCCTCCCCTGTTGCCCATCCCCAGCCTCTAGAAGAGCTGGAGGGAGAGCCCCGCACACCCTGCCGCCAGGATGGGCAGCCCCGAGCTGTTCGGCTGCCAGCCTCATGGGCAGCCTAAGGTGGGTTCAAGCTTGAGGATTCGGGTCACAGCCTTGGGCACTTAACGTGCTTCCACGTTTAGCAGACGGGCCGGGCTTTTGCTCTCAGGGTGCCAGGGAAGGGACTGAGAAACTCCTGGGTAACAAACATGAAGACACTGACACTCCATGAACTTTAAATTTTAATAGCTGGCATTTCTGCCTAGGACAGAGGCAGGATGAAATTCTCGGAGCCTGCAGGAGCCAAGCCCGTTCCTTAGCAGTGGTTAGTCACCCCTGGGTTGCTACAGCATCCGTCGGGGAGAGCGGATGGGCCATTTGTGAAAGACGCGAGGGGCAAAGCTTTCCCAGCGCTGGGCAGCGCGCCGAGAACAAGACGCAAACTCGGCTTCCGAGACGGACGCCTTCACTTTAGCTTCTTGCCCCTTCTCTCACTTCTGGTGTTTCTGGGGTGGCCACGGGCAGGTTTGCTTGGTCTGCTGCTGGCAGGGGCTGGTGGGGGTTTGACAAGGAACAGTGGTGGGGTACTGGGGATGAGGTTTCACATCATGGCAGGTCGTGGCCTCGCTGCCGTGGCAGGAGGAGCGTTCACTGCTGGGGCAGGAGGAGCGTTCGCTGTCGGGGCAGCCTCTGGGCTCACGGGAACACATGTTTCTGTAATGCCGGGAGCCCCTGAGAAAAAAAGAAATTGTCCTTCACTGACCGTGCAATCAAGATCAATTATCAGAGGCCGGTTAAGAAATGAGACAGATTATACCAGCACCGAGCCCTTACTACCAGTTCTTTGCCAAGGGGCGCCAATCTCACTACACCCATTTCCCAGGTGAGGATAACTGAGGTGTGAGAGGGTAACTGACTGGCTCAAGTTTCACCCAGTAGGGACAGTGACGATGGAGGGAGTAGACCTCGGTTCTCCTCACTTCAGCTCTGTGTGCTGTCCAATAGGCCTCATGGCCTCCCTGGGGGCCTTCCCCCCAAATCTGGAGATAAATGGTTACGGGGCAAGGGGAGGGGGGTTGTTGTGGGACAATGTGGAGCGCTGCAAAGATGGGAAGAGAGTTTCACATTCTCAGTAGCCTGTCACATCCAGGGGTCAGAGAAGGGATAAAATTCTCAAAACGCTTTAGGAGTCTAATTCTCGCTGATTTTCAGTGAGCCTTGGGCTGCCAGGTGCTTAAATTCCTAGCAGAACTTAGGTTCCGAAATCATTAGATGCTCTTGAGAAATTTTACGAGAGATGATCAGCGCCCTCGCTGGTCTGGGGCAGATCCTCTGCTGGTGGAAACTTGGGCAGCTGCTTTGAACTCAATGGGGGCTGTGCTGATTTCACACCCGCCCAGGAGATAGCCAACAGGAATCCATGCACAGTGGCTCTCTATTCCTGAAAGCTGGCATTGTCTAAGGCACGGAACGTGGTTCCTAAATCCTGTTAAGATTCCAGATTGAAATGGGAGTTTCATACCTATACCCCTCGGCTCCCTGCAAAGTCCCAGACAAAAGGCAGAGAGTAAAGTCTGACAGTGGAGAAAAAGAAACCCAGAGCAATGAGACAAGGAGATCTGTCCTGAGGTGTCCTTCGAAGCCAAAAAGCTTGAAGAGCTGGGGAAATGCAGTAAGAGGCTTCAGTCTGTTCTCTGAGCTGTGTCCATACCAGTGCCTGCTTTCTGCTTCCCATAGAATCCTAGAACTGGAAGGGACCTCGAGAAGCATGAAGTCCAGTCCCTTGCCCTCCTGGCAGGACCCAGCACTGTCTAGACCATCCCTGACAGGTGTCTGTCCAACCTGCTCTTAAATATCTGCAGGGATGGAGATTCCACAACCCCCCTAGGCAACTTATTCCAGTGTTTCACCACCCTGACAGGCAGGAAGTTTTTCCTAATGTCCAACCTGAACCTCCCTTGCTGCAGTTTAAGCCCCTTGCTTCTTGTCCTGTCCACAGATGTTTAAGGAGAATAATTTTTCTCTGTCCTTCTTGTAAGAATTTTTTAGGTACTTGAAAGCTGCTTTCATGTCCCCTCTCAGTCTTTTTTTCTAAACTAAACAAGCCCACTTCTTCCAGTCTTCCCTCAAAGCTCATGTTCTCTAGACCTTTAAATATTTTCTGGATCCTCTTTAATTTCTCCTCATCTTTCTTGAAATGTGGTGCCCAGACCTGGACACAATACTCCAACTGAGGCCTAATCAGCGCAGTGCAGAGCAGAGCAGAGCAGAGCAGAGCAGAGCAGGAGAATGACTCCTCGTGTCTTGCTCACAACACTCCTGCAAATGCCTCCCTGAATCAGGTTTGCTTTTTTGCAACAGCGTCACACCGTTGACTCATATTTAGCTTGTGGTCCACTACACCCCTTTCTGCAGGACTCACTCCCAGACAGTCACGTCCCATTTTATATGTGTGAAACGGATTGGTCCTTCCTAAGCGGAGCACTTTGCATTTCTCCTTGTCCAACTTCATCCTATTGATCTCTGACCATTTCTCTAGTTTATCCAGATCATTTTAAATGTTGACTGTATCCTCCAAAGTGCTTGCAACTCCTCCCAGCTTGCTATTATCTGCAAAGTTAATAATCGTACTCTCTATGGGTATGCCTACATTACCCTCCTAGTTCGAATTAGGAGGGTAGTGCAGACATACCCTCTGCCATCATGTAAATCATTGATGAAGATATTGACCAGATCTGGTCCCAAAACTGACCCCTGTGAAACCCCCCTTGTTCTGCCCGTCCAGCATGGCTGTGAATCATTAATAACTACTCCCTGAGAATGGTTATCTGCACCCACCTTATAGTAGCCCCACCTAGGTTGCATTTCCCTAGTTTAGTGAAAAGAAGGTCATGCAAGACCATGCCAAATGCCTTACTAAAGTCTAGGTATACCATGTACACTGCTTCTCCCTTACTTCACTCTATTTTGTCCTCAAAAAACTCCAGGTCCTAGGCACGATGGGGAGTCAGGTAGCTCACACTAGTTAGTCCACATTGCTACTTAGCATCAAAGTCTCCAACCCTGACAACCCACACACCCGCCCACTCCAAACTGGAGAGTTCAGAGTTAGGCTTGTAATACTCCCTGGCCAAACCGATGAAGTTAATTTCAATCAACAGGGAAGAGCTTCATCAGACTAACGACTCACCTTGAATGTCAGCTGGAACGCGGGAGATGAGCAGGAAGCTGAGTGAATGAGGCAGCCTGGGACACGGGAACTTTTATACCTTCCCGAAAGCCTGTTCTTGGAAATGAAATACCCCAGGGGGACAGCGACCCACCTCTGTACAGACGCTCATTTCCTTCCAAAGCTCCCTTGACTCATCGCCTTTGCTCAATGTTATTTTTTCCTGGTGTTTCACACAGTTTCGGTTGGGAGCCCCACCCGCTCCCACCCGCTGTGCATTGCAAGTGGGGATGAGCAAACCACAAGGGTGGTTTTGGTGGTTCAGTATTTTTCCGTCGTGCGGGGAAGGGTTTGGATTGCAGCACCCGAAGGAGAGATGGCCCGGACCTGAGATATCTTAACTCCCTGGCAAACGTTTGGACAAGGAGGTTGGGTACAATATTCAGTGGCAGTGAGGGGAGCTGGCAGCCTCGCTGGACCCCTAAGCAAGGTGTGGGTTTGCAGCTGCATACTCCCAGGAGGGGCGCAGCTTTGGGCAGAAGGGGCAGGGCCTTGGGCAGACAGACGTCAGCACCACCCAGAGTGAGCCATGCTGCCCCCGCCTGCTAACACCTGGAGTCTGCTACGTAACACTCTGGCTGCGAGCTAAGGGGCCAGGGGCGCTGGGCTTTGCCGCTGACACAGAAGCAGCCGGTGGGAGCACTGGGCCCTTGAAACTTACCAGGCCCCGGGGCACTTCTCCTCTTTTGATCCCCCCATTTGTGGTCCTGGTGGTAGTTTCCTGCAACTCTAATTGCCAGGACACATCTTTGAGAGAATGGCCGAGATTCGGAGGAGTGAACGTGTCCCTCCTCACTTCCTTGTCCTGGTGCCATTTCTGTGTCTATCTTGCCACAGAAGGCCTAGAATTCGGCCCAGGCCTGTCACTTCAAACCTTTGAGCAACCAGGCAGTGGGACGGGTCCAACGAGCGTCAAGTATCAGCTGGTGCGTGATGTCAGGGAGAGTTGAGGGGGTAAGAGGACGAATCCCAAGGCCACCCCAGGGTCACCCGCTCGCCGGAAGGATCCATGTTCAACCTGCTGCATCCTCTGGCTGTCCTTAATCTGGGAACATGCCTGGTATGGACCTGGGCAGGCAGAGGAGGAAGCCAAAGGATGCTTGAATTAAAGAAGAAACCTGCGGGGAGGCAGTGTTAGTTCGGGGGACCTAAGAGAACTCTGTTCCCCAACCAGGCAATGCTGCTGAAATGAACGTCTCCTTCCAATATTCATGCCTCCGGGGAGGTAGTTTCAAGTGCCTATTGGAGTCAGGGCAGATCTTTCCTTTGACTTCAGCAGGCCTAGAGTTAGACCCGCAACAAACACACTGTAGCAAACCTGGCTACTCTTCACTGTCTTGTCAATTCAATCCGGACACCCCGATTTGTTATTTACGATGGGGGCGGGGAGAGTCACCAGCAGACTGATGTAAATGTCTGAGGTTTGTTATTGGCTATTCTGGGCCAGATCCTTAGCTGGTGTAAATCAGCAGTCCTCTGGTGACTTCAGTGCAGCTATTTCAGTAGGGGATCTGTCCCTATGAGTCTTTACTGAAGCGCACAATAAATACGTGTGTGTGTGTGTGTGGTAAAAACAGGCAAAGAAACAAAAACAGTAACTTGCAGACTGCTTTGTAAGATGAACAGCACCAAGCTTTTTACCTGCATTGAATGTGTACAGGGAAAAAAATTATTATTTGGCCTATTTGTGCAAGATATATGGATGTGACTTGAATAAAATGGTATGTACGGGGAGTAAACATATGTCATGAATTGGAGCTGCAAAGGAGAGTCTGACTTATCTGGAGATTGAGGAAAGGGTTAAGCAACTCTGGAGATGCGTCTGAGAGAGGAGGCTTTGGGCATTCAGCCAATGAAATACAGATAAGGAATTTCAAACTGAGAGAGATTTTTTTTTCTCTTCTTTTTTTTTGGGGTCAGAGCAATTTTTTCCCCAGGTAGTAGGAGAGACGGACTCTCCCAGGAACAGACTCCTTGAATTCATTGAAACTTGTAAGTAGGGAAAAGTTTGGATAGTCTGTCAGGTTTTCTTGTTTTCCTTGTTTGGGGGTTTGGAAATCATGTCTGAGCTAGTTAAATGTTTTTCTCTTTTGAAACTGAGGATTACAGCCCAGGGATTCTCCCTAAGTCTATTTCATTCCATGGCTTTTAACACCCAGTCATTTACTCTGCTTGCAACAGTAGTCTTGTTTTAATAATAAAAGTGTTTTCTTTTTGTTTTGGTTAACCGGTATTGGTTGATTTTTCTGTCCTTGCACCTACATGCCTAAGTTATCAGGGAGGAGTAGAGCCCCATTGTTCTCTGCAGATGATCTCTGTTTGTTTTCCCAACCCCAAGCAAAACAGAGGTTGGGGCAGGAGGGAGAGCTTTGCCTCGGGGAAGGGATTCCAAGTGATCTCTTCCCTGGAATAGGACAGGAGGGAGAGCTTTGCTCGGGGAAGGGATTCTAAGTGATTTCTTCCCTGGAATAGGGCTTATTTTATATTTTTATTTACACTTGGTGGTGGCAGCGACCGATTGTCTTTCTGTTTAGGTCTCAGTTTCCGGACAATTTTTTTCTCAGGGAGTTACAGAGACAGGTTCTTACAGAGTTTATTTTGCTAACCGGCCCCCATATCCACACTCAAAGTACCAGGTTGGGGAATTGAGCTGTGACAACATAACCCCCATTTTTCCTATAATTGTGACACACATTCTTCAAGGAGGAACACACACTGTCAAATAGCGATTCCCTGCAGTCCAAGGGCCTGCCCGTGGGTGTAAAGGGGAGTATTTTGTGGGCCTGGGCAGTTGCCATGAGCTGTTTTTATCCTGCTTTTCTCGGATGAATGGCAGGAGGTCTTCTGATTTATTTCATCCCTACGGTTCTCATGTTGCCTGGATTATGGCAAGTCGTTAGAATGACAGAGCCCTAAAAAGGACCATTAGGTGGGATTTTCAAAAGCCCCTAGGCCTCTTAGAACTTTGATTTTCACCCGGATTGGTGCTCCTAAGGCATGGAAACAGGTTTGATAATCGAGCTGTAGATCCAGAGAAATCCAAGAAACTAATTTATAGTCACCCAGTACCAGGAACATTAGAACCACCATCAGCATGCGTCAGTGCAGTTCTTCCTGGGATCTTGAGGTGAGAATGGCATTTGTACTACCCGACCCCCACAGGTGGAGTCCGGCGTTTATAACCCCATTAATACACAGAGGCCCTGTCTGGGCCCTTTGCCGTTTTACGTCTAGGCTCCAGTGGATTTTGTTCACGGGGACAGATGTGAGAGCACTTGGTCCTGACTGCAAAGCAGAGACGGGCATGGCGTGTTCTGGTACTGTCACTCTAGAACCAGTCCCGTGAACTCATCAGAGGGGAGGCCAGTGGGAGGGGCCTCTCACACGTGGCAGACACGCTCAGCATGTGCAGTGCTGAGGGCTTTGTGTGTGTGTGTGTGACACCGCACTCCTGGCAGTGCTGAGGGGTGTGTGTGTGTGTATGACACCGCACTCCTGGCAGTGCTGAGGGGTGTGGGTGTGTGTGTGACACCGCACTCCTGGCAGTGCTGAGGGGTGTGGGTGTGTGTGACACCGCACTCCTGGCAGTGCTGAGGTGTGTGCGTGTGTGTGTGTCACCGCACTCCCGCGCG